GGTCTGGGGGAGGTAGCTGAGGGAAGAAACTTGTTGAGAGCTGCAAGGGATAGAGGAAGAGGTGGAGAGCCATGATTGCCTACGTCCTGAAAGGACATGGCATATAAAAAGAATAAATGTTTCTTGGTTCTCTCTCCACTCTCTCCCTCTCTCCCCTCTCTCTCTCTCACTCTCTCTCCCCTCTCACTCCCTCTCTCTCACTCTCTCCCTCTCTCTCACTCTCTCTCTCTCTCTCTCTCCTCTCTCCTCTCTCCCTCTCTCCCTCTCTCCTCTCCTCCCTCTCTCTCTCTCCTCCCTCCTCTCCTCTCCTCTCTCTCCCTCCTCTCTCCCCTCTCTCTCTCCCCCCTCTCTCTCCCTCCTCTCTCTCCCCTCCTCTCCTCTCTCCCTCTCACTCTCTCCTCCCTCTCCTCTCTCCCTCCCCTCTCCCCTCCCCTCCCCTCTCTCCCTCTCCCCCTCTCCTCTCTCTCCCCTCTCCCTCTCCCTCCCCTCTCTCCCTCCCTCCCCCCTCTCTCCCCTCCCCCCCTCTCCCTCTCCCCCTCTCTCCTCTCCCTCCTCTCTCCCTCTCCTCTCTCTCTCTCCCCTCTCTCTCCCCTCTCCTCTCTTCTCCCTCTCTCTCTCTCCCCTCTCACTCTCTCCCCTCTCCCTCTCTCCCCCCCCTCTCCTCTCTCTCTCCCCTCTCCTCTCTCCTCTCTCTCTCCCCTCTCTCCTCTCTCTTTTTCTCTCTCACTCACTCGCACTCATGCTCATTAAGCTGTTTCGCCATAAATTCTTGAATGTTCTCAATCTTTATATTTATTCATTCTTAATTGCTACTGCATATCTTTGTTTAAAGACTGTGATTTGTTTTGTTTTTTTTTTTTTTTTTTTTTTTTTTTTTTTTTTTTTCATTTCGCAGATTAGGCACTGTTTTGAGTTTCTTTAAATTTTGCAATATTATCTTTAGTTTGCTTATGGAAGGTGATCACTCCATAGTCTAAGTTTCTAAATCGCTTATTGATAGTCAAGTAATTTATTCAGCTTTTGGTCCGACCTTCTGGGCTTTTGTAACAGTGAACCTCTTAGATGTTCTTCGAACAGTGTTAGTGATTACTTTGACTATTCGCAGTGCATTCTTCAACAATTTTTCTATGCACACGTTCATTTTCTTTTATGTTCTGTATCTCTTTTGAACGTGGATGATCATGGCTCTCCACAACTTCCAATTCTAGGCACCGTTCTGGGTATCAAATTCTCAAAACTTCATTTCAGTTGCCTTTTTCTGATTTTAAGTGAACGCCCTTTTTGTTTCAAATGTCCTTAAAACTTCCCCGTTGCTCACTTTTATCTGTCCGTGGTAATCTCGGCATCCTTTTATAAAACCACACCTCTGTTGTTTCAAGTCTCATCTTCATCTGTGAGGAAATTCAGTATTCTATCCCTTTTGTTTCTAACAAAAATTCAATGTCTCTTATTAAAAAAAAAAAAACAACTTTTGAGCGTTCTCTGTTCGACTTCCATATTTATCGACCATTTTACTATATTGTCCCCTTCCTGATTTTGCGTTTAGGTAGACCAATATAATAATTTGGGGGGATATGGTCTATGATTTGTCTTTTTCTGGCGTATCGCAGAACAATTTATTTTTTCCTTTGGTATTTTCTTATGTGATTGTAAATATCGCGATGATAGACATAGTTTGACATTAAGGTACACTAGGAAGAAAGAAACTGCCTGAAATTTATCAGAACCACTAAGACGTAGTCTATTCTGGTATAATCTAATAACAGTCTGACTTCTCCTTCATTCTTCTCTCCTAAGTAAATAGGACCACCGCCACATTACGTTAAAAAGTTAAGCAACGTCCAGCTTCGTCATTACCTAAATCGGTGACCGCTTGGGAATACTAGGCGCTGTAAGCTTGGATAGCCAGTTAGTGTAAAGTATAATGGTTCGAAATTGTTGGTCGGAGAAGGTGCGTTATATTCATATATACCCTTGGGAAAGGTATGAGTCCATCTCTTCTCCCCCAGCTGTGGGTTAATTAGTATGACTTGTATCACTAAAACCATTACCATCTCAAAAAAAAATTGCGTACAAAATATTTAGATTACGGCTTTAAATAACCAATCGACGTTGATATGCCGCTTAACAAAAGCAACCAAACGCCTTACATAAATAATTCGGTGGAAATTACTAACGCATAACAGATTCAAATATAGTTGGAGATAAGTTACAACCGTGATATTGAATCATTTTTCTGTGTGATAATTATCTGGTGTGTCGTCATAAATTTAATCGTTAGAGCGAAGGAAGTTTTCGATATAAAGTGTGTTTCATTAAGACAGATCAAAATCAGCAGTAAATAAATCAGTGTTATTGATAAAAATCTATTTATTTCTCAATTGGATCATGTTATTTAAGTCATGCCAATTATGAGTGAAAAATAATATCGCCCAAATGTCCGCCAAGGTTTCGTTGGCGCAGCTCCACTCGATGGTCAAAACTTCAATGACGTCTCTGCATAGTTGCCCCTTGATCTCACAAATATGCCTTATTTCACCCTTTGTTGAATTGTTGTTGGCTTGTCAGCATAGATTTTACTTTTGAGATGACCCCAAATGAAGAAATCTAAAGCCGTCAAGTCGCACAATCATGGTGGGCAATTGACTTCGCTGTTTCGAGAGATTATGCGATCTGGGAAATTCTCATTCAAGTTCTGTTTGAACGTCCATTTTCGTAGTAGACTTCGATAACTGTAACACGTTGTTTCATTGTTAATCTTTCCATGTTTGAAATTGCCAAAGACTTAAATTATTAAATGTAAAAGAAAAAAATCATTAGACGCTTAAACTTAATTCACATTTAAAATCGGTCCAAGTTATTGGAACACCTTTTATTTGTTTAATAATTGCTACCATATTATGGGTTATCATAAGCAACTCACAACATGGCTGATCATGCCTCTCCAGTACTCCCTACCTTTTGCCGTCTTTCTCTCTTTGCTCGAAGAGAGACGCGAATGGGGATCCTTTTCTGGTAGTAAGGATTTCGAAATGCGTGTGAAATATCCGGCGAGTTATGAGAAACAAATGATAAATTGATCGATAAACTGACTGATCAATATTTAGTCATTCGCACGTTTGGCACGTTTTCATTCATAGATACAAACAAACTGATAGAATGATCAATATTTATAAGATTTAACTATTGCAGATTTTACGAATGAACTGACTGCACCAATTACTTAAGCGGGAAAGTACTGGCTGACTTGACAATTCGGTGTTCGATATACTGACATATTCTGATAATGTTCATTATAATGTTGTTTTTTTTTAATTTTTTACCTCAAGTCAGTGGCAAATAGATAACTGTCAACCTCCAAGAAGAAAATATATTTATTAGACAGCGTATTTAAATCATTTTCTATTGACTAACAGTCAAAAAGTGACCGATGCAGTATTTTATACTGAAACCAGAAGTCTACAACTTTTTAAATAAAATCTAAATAAAGTTATTTTCTACTTTTCAAATGGACACATTGTCTGATGTGATTAAGATACCCCATGTGTTATAATTTAGCGTAAATTGATTAAACCTCACTTGTGTCAAACCTAACGAAGCAATTAACAACTGATCAACTACATGTTTCAAACACAGAACACTGTCTCTATTTACCAAGCAAAATATCACATCACCATTTTATTTTTTTTTTTCTATTTGAATAGCGACAAATTCAGAAGGAACCGAAAAGTGTCGGGAATAGCAGGGGTATTTCAGCGGAAACGAGTACATTTATGATTTCATTAAAAGTTTATTTAACAAGAGCAGGGTGCGACTGACGACATTGAAAAGGGGTAACTTCATTGCAGAGGATAGGGGAATAAGAAGTAATAAAAAATTTTCAAATATGCTGACAGAAATAAGAATTCCATTATATAAGTGACGTAGAAAGTGTCAAAGATTAATTATACAAGTGACCAATCATTTAGTTATTACAAATGAAAGTTTAAATATTTCCTATTGAATTAATACCATGCACCAGAAATGTGTATGTGTTATGCTTTAGTATGTGAAAGAGAAATATTCCGAACAGTGTTAATTGATCTGGAACAGATCAATGGCAGTAAGTTGATTCGGCTACTATCATCATCAACAATATACAAGGTGTCCCTAAAGTCTGAAAATGTAAGAAATCTCATTAACTGATATGGTAGTAAGCGATTGGCTGAATGACAATTTCCCTAACTGGATTAGAAGTCGTGGTCATGTGGAGTAGTCTCCTCGTTCGCCAGACCTTAGCCCCCCCCCCCCTGGCTTCTTTTTCTGGGGTATGCTAAAGGAGAAGGTGTACTCAATGAAAATCACATATGCAACTCACTTGATTGAAAGCGTAAACAATGAATGAGCTAAAATTGACATGTGGAGTTATTGCGTCATGAATCTTGAAAAGCGCATTAATCTTTACATCACAACAGATGGAAATCATTTTTTTAAAGCAGTTCACCCCAAGCAAGGCGGAAGTGCTATCATATTAAAGATGTTATTTCTTAATATTCCAATTCAGTAAAATGTTGTTGAAAATTTCATTTCCTGAAAATATGCATCTTTGTCTATGTATTCATATTTTAGGGACACCCTGTATACTGACGAGGCAAAATATAATGATAATCAACCTGTGGTAAGAAATATTAGTTATTGTCTCGTAACACTGAGCATGACAGTCAAATATCTAATAAAATATACAAGAATTACGCCAACATGGAGTATTGCATGGCCGTGTGTTGAATGGCGTAGTTATGTTCAAGAAAAAGATTTGAATGATTTGTTAGTCCAAATTATTATGCCTAGAAGACTAGATCAGAGCATGTCTGAAATCGTGAGTTCATATTCACTTGCAATGTGTACAGTGGTTCAAGGGTCGGGAGAATCGGCAATTGCCCAGAACGCATTGGGCCACCAAGAATTATCGATACGAAAGGTGATAAGAAGCTGTCCCGCCAAACCTGGACACTTAGCCACATCACGTTGAAACACCAGTTCCCTTACGATCACCGAAATTAAGCCTGGTCAGTACTTAGATCGGTGACCGCTTGAGAATACCTGGTGCTATAAGCCTGGATGTGCAGGTGGTGTAATGGATAATGGCTCGCAATTGTCCATCGGAAAGCGGATTTCCCGTACTATTAGGTTCGTTATATTCACTTACGCCAACGAGAATATAAGGAAAGTGAGAAAGTTTTGAATTCACCTCTTCTCCCCAGCTATGGGTTAATTAGTAAGACTTGTATCACTAAACCATTATTATATCCAAATGCAAAATAAAATTGCATACAGATATTTAGATTTTGGTATTAAACAACCCATAGAGATGTTGATGTGTTGCTAACAAAAACGACCAGCAAGCCAAACCTAAATCAACAAACTAAATATTGTGGCACAGGCTTCAGATAAAGTTAATCAAAATAAAGACACGAATGCGTCACAACACACATTGACCATCTTTTCGTATGGAGCTACACGTTTACAGACCGAATATTCATGACTACAATAGGCACATGAATCAGAACTGGAATTTTGATTATAGAAAATGGTTTGATTAGTATGTTGGGCTGCAGGATGCGTTGTTATCCTACAGAAAATATGACATCGAAGCACTTGAGACACTTTAAGGGTTTACGAAACGTTCTGAGTGCTGTCGCTCATGTATAATGCATTTTGTTGTGTTGAACATCAATGAAGAGCAGCTACACTCCTTCATGACAACAGTCTTCTACGATGTAACATCTTTCAGATGCCACTTTGCGCAAATTGTATATAAATTGATTCCGGAACATTGATATGAATTTACTGTTTTATGCTGACTAGAAACTCCAAGAGTCTCATTCACATTGGACACCTATAAGATATGGTGAACCAATAAACTCGCTGTGCAGAAACCCCACCACAAAATTTACAGCAGTTAACATTTGGCTAGGACCAGATCACAGAGGAAACATTTAAAGGAAAGTCTATGCCTGTTCTGGTGAAAGCAGTTTTGTGGGCACATAGATGACTATCGCTTTATTATGTAGGTTCATGTTTTTGCTGCTATTATTGATATATTTCTGCTTGAACATTAGCATATACGTTGCACTCTGCTAATTCTGCATAAATAATGGACTCTTCCGTTTTGATTACGAGGAGAGACGGAAAAGATATATCAAAGACACTATTTGGTTTTGGACGGAAAGAAGGAAGGAAGCAAACAAGAAAGCAAGCAAAAAAATGGGAAATTCTTGAAATAATGAATTCATATTTATGATTGTTATTGGAATATTTTGTTAAAGTTGTTACGCTCAAATGTTTTCATGTTTTAAGTTCAGTTGTTACGTTCCGAAAATATTTTTTTTTTTAGAATAGACGAAGTATGAAGCAAGTATACGTTGTCATCACAACAATGGCAACAAAGGGTCGTTTTGACGACTCAACAATTTGATAAACTAATAACATAATGAAAAACAAAATGCTTAAAATGTAACATGTATAAAGAATGTATATTGCCAGCTAAGATGTCTGAGTAGCAAATATGGAAATTAACAAAATCACTTAACTCAAAAATGCACAAAGATCTATGGAAACATCAATGCTATATAGAATTCTAAGAGAGAGTAAGAAGTAGTAAAAATTTAAAAGGAAAATGACTAAAATAAAAGATGTCATAAAAGAGATGAAATATAAATTTTCTCTGTTAACTTTGTCTCGATTTGGGTCACAAAAACCATTCCTTTAATGTAATTTTTTTTTTTTTTTAACTATACCAATTTTTGCATAAGTATGAATAATTTCGGAATCCTCTCTCTTCCACTCACTCTATCGTTCACACTCGCGCACACATATACAAGTCCTTAACGAGCTTTTCTTGTTCCCGTGCTAGAGAAAACTTAATAAAAAAAATATTTAAAAAATTAACCGAAGTTTCTTGTCAGTCATTTTTAATTAAGCATGTATTAGAGATGGGTTGCTGCCGAAGTATAAATAGCTATTTCCCCCCACTTCCTAAGTATAGTAAATTTTAAATAATTCCGTATTAAAAGTACTCTACAGATAGATAAGTAGTTGAAGACTTATATATGGCAGTATACTGAAAAGTTCTCGGCCTGACGAAGAGAACATTTCATAAAATCTGACATTTGGTCATTTAGTCAAATTTCAAGATGTCGATCGGCCGGGAACTTTCCCTTTCTTTGAATTCTTAATATTATCTTGATTTGTAGTGTTACAAATAACGGCAAGTTCGAATTCTCAAATTATAGTAATGAAAGAGACAGTCGCCCAGTTTGTTTTTATTTAAATTCTTACATCTGTTTCTCATTTTCTTCGTTTTTCTTTATTTCGTGCTTTCTACTGTTTCAGACACTTTCACTTTTTATTTGCATCTTAAACAAGTTATCTCCCTTTCAGCAACAGCCGTTCACACTTTTTTTTCTATCTTTTGAAATTACCCTAACTTGTTCAAAGTCAAATTTGTTTCACCTCTCGGGCTAAGCGGTACACTCATATGGGTGTGTGTTTATTTCTAACATGCATATATATATATATATATATATATATATATATATATAAAACTTTTTTTTCTTTTTCTGTGAAAAGAATATTATTTAAATTAAGTTTTCTAAAACAAAGTTCTTCTCTAAAAAAGAAATTGAGATTTATACTCTGTAAACTTCTAAAATATCTGAAATAATGCATGCTATAAAAGGCAAATGTTTTTTGTATATAAATTTCCATAATTGATTTTACAAATGTAATCCATACACGTTCAGTTCCAATGCGCTACTAATTCTTTATCATGCGAAATCTCTTTGAACAGTCACGAAACCAAATCTCCCTGAATCTTACTATATTCATGGTTAATGCTCAATCGGAATCCATCTTTTAATGCCATCAGCTCGGACCATTAGGACCAAAACATACTTTGCCCACGTTAAGTGGCTTTTGGGTCTTGTACTGAATGAACTATATTTTTTTTGATTCACTCTACTATGACATTTGGTGGCTGTAACGACACAAAAGGTTACTACAATCAGTGGTAATGCCTTTAATAAAAATATTCTAAAACCAATCATACAAACCATAAATACGAATGCTGGTTATTATTTAAAACACAGGCTACAAATGAAAAGATTAAAAAGTGACAAGGTTTTCCATTTCACTGAAGCATTCGTTAAAAATATGAAAGTGTTATCGCTTACTGTATCTTACTTCATTTTTTCTTCTTTTTTTAATCATTTCACATCAAGCAAAGCCGCAAAATCACTAACACACAGTGGCTTACTCAGTGTGAAAGAATATGCGAAAAACATTATTAAGGAAGAAGATCATTAAAAAGACAGAAATTAAGAAGACAGAATATATAACGACTGACATTGCATGTAAATTTTTGAAGATCAAACTTCACCGGAAAGCAAGAAGCTGGAAGAGAGTTCCACAAGCGGTACATGCCTGAAAAGGAACTATTAGCATAGAACTTACGGTTACATCTAGCAGCCATTTCAACTTGCCGCTAATCTAGTAACGCGCTTAAATTCATAAAGTCTAAGTATCATAGAGAGAAGTTCACCAGAACAGCATCCTGAATATGACGATAAACTTCATCCGCGTCCTGGATTAGACGTTAAACTACGTCCAACAGCAAGGCCTCTGATCAGGCGGTTTTGAGGAGCGTGGAACCGCCTCTTAATTGCTGGTGTTCCCAGATCCACCCTACACTATGAAAATGAAAAAATGTGTTTTAATACCAGAAATAATTTGTAAAAAAAGTGTTTACCAACAATACATTTTTGAATAAAAATATTACCAGAAATAGATTTTTTTGACGAAAAATATATTACCAGAAATAAATTTTTGAAAACAAAAATATAGTACCAGCAATAAAAAATTTGACGGCATTAAATAACCCATTGAGTTTGATATGCCGTAAAACAAACCAAACCAATCACCAGAACAATTAACATGAAAGTATTTATAGAGAAGGCACAGGGAAACTACGTTACGTCGTCGGGAAAGTGACTGAAGCCGAGATGCCAGATGAGGACCAATAATATTGCAAACTCTTCTTTAGATTTTATCAAGAATCTCTAAATATATAGCAGGCGCAACAGACCAGATGTGACAGCAATATTTAAAACAATGACGAATATGTAAGATTCGAGTAAGAAAATTCTCTAACACGACAGAGAATCAAATTTCCTAGCAGTAGACTTAGCAACTGATTCCATATAACCTTTCCACTTAATGTCACCGGAAAACATTATCCAGAGAAGAAGCAAGGAGCCACTCTCGTGGAGGTTAGCGTTAGCCATGCTGATGAAAGGCAAAAAAGCTTCTCTCAGACGATTAATAGAGTGGTTCCGTTTTGCATCGATTAATATTAGGTCATTTTTTATATCAGCTGACAATTTGATTTTATCGAACCGATCAGACTTACTATAAAGACAGGAGTAAATAGTTGCGTCATCAAGATAGCTACCTAGTTGAGAACTGATGCCATCAGAAATGTCGTTGATGAAAATTAGGGCCAACATAGGTCCAAGAATAGAGCCCAGGAGACGCCTGAATTGATACAAAAAGATCTAGAAGAATGGCCGTTCTAGACAACTTTCATTGCACGATTTGATTAGAAAGACTAAATTAGTTCCAACATTTGTCTAGAAATGCCATAAATTTTCAACTTGTGAAGAAGGCAAGTATGGCAAACTCTGTCAAGTGCCTTCGAGATATCCAAAGCAACAGCCTGAGATTCACCATTCTTATGTAAACCTTGAAAGATTCTTTCAGCAATAATCGCAGTTGACATAAAGAAATGAAAGCTATATTGCTTATCTGAAAGAAAATTCTGCAATGTAAGATGTTTAACTAATTCAGAGTTGATTAAAACCTCTGGTAATTTAACAAAAAGGATGTAGAAGGCTAATGGGTCGATATTTTGAAAGATCAGACGATTTGCCTTAAAGACTTGAACGACAGAAGAGGATTTCTAACAAGTCGGAAAGCAAGATACAGCAAGACAATTATTGCAGAGTTTAAAGAGAACAGGAGCCAGTTCAGAAGCACATTTCTTAAGGACGATTGGA